TAAATTCAGACGTTTAAAAACAAAAAAATATCGAACAACACACGGTGGTGATAGGGTGCTAATCCAAGACATGGTATAAAATTATAAACTCGGTTTTTTCTTAGGATTCGACTCTCACTGAACACTTCCATTTATTAGTTAAAACGGTGTTACATTTAAATCCGTAACAAAATTTGGTGAATTAACTACTAGCCAACCGCTAAATACACTTGGAGTTTTTCAATCCAGATCAATCTTTGATATATATATAATTAAAAATAATTAAAAAATGTCTTATTGCTAAAATCAATTTTTAACAAAGTTTAGATTCAGCAGGGTTTCTAAAAATAGTGTTCTTGAATAATTTAATTATAATCCATTTTAAAGTGTTTTTTTTCCCTACACCTAAACTAAACTTTGTGTTGCTTTTGGAACTTTTGATTTTGGTTGTAAATTTCTAAAAATACGAACATTTTTATGTTTGAAAATTCCCTATAAATAATTTACAAATTTATTTAATTTAAAAAAAAAATCTCATAACTGACTTGAGGAAAAAAAAAAAAAAATTCATAAAACAGTTTCTATATCAAAATAAAATTAAAAAGGACAAAAAACTACATATTCATTTTCTTGGGGGGCATATCCATAAAAAACAAAAATACTTGTAAAAAAAAAAAATTGACAAAAAGAAATGAAAAATCTAATCGCCGCATGCAATCGCCGATCAACGAAAACCACCAACGTCCGTCTCTAATCATCTCTCTCCGAAACCCATCCATCAATGGCGAGAAGATCCGGCTCGATCCTCAATCGCCTCTTGTCAAATCCCAATCCCTCTTCTCCATTCACCTTACCGACCCGATCCATCACCTACATGCCTCGACCCGGCGACGGAGCCCCACGAACCGTAACCCTGATTCCCGGCGACGGAATCGGACCATTAGTTACCGGCGCCGTCGAACAGGTAATGGAAGCGATGCACGCACCTGTTCATTTCGAGCGATACGAGGTTCTTGGTCACATGAGGAAAGTCCCTGAAGAAGTAATCGAGTCTGTGAAAAGGAACAAGGTTTGTCTTAAAGGTGGATTAGCTACTCCTGTTGGTGGTGGTGTCAGTTCTTTGAATATGCAATTAAGGAAAGAACTTGATATCTTCGCTTCTCTTGTCAATTGCATCAATGTCCCTGGATTAGCTACACGACACGAGAATGTCGACATCGTTGTGATTAGAGAAAACACTGAAGGTGAGTATGCAGGTCTTGAACATGAGGTTTTTCCTGGTGTTGTCGAAAGCCTTAAGGTTGGATCATAGCTTCTCTAATCTGTGGATTCTG